GTTTTGTTTTTATAGAATGATTCCAGTGGGATTATAGAGTGTGGTTATAAAATAAAATTTTTGTATCAAAAAGATCACGACTGGTGCTTGGTGAAAAAACACTGAGAAAACAATGTTACTCTGGTCTAAGGTGGGAAATTTCCAATGTATAAGGGAAAAGAATGGAAGGGGAGAGTGAAAGGGAGAGAAAAAAGTTCTGCCTGTATTCCACATAAAAACCTTGCAGGAAACATCCATCCTTCAATGTCAAGACCCTAGGGATAGGATAACTGTGCCACTTTAGTGGTATTTGTAACAAAACATGTCTCTGCCTCTGTCATTCAGGTGTTACTTATTAAGAGGCATTTCTGAAGGAATGCTGCTGGCCAGCCTTCTTATTTGATCACTGCTTTGACTACTTATTCTCAGGATAGCACTGAAATGCTATCCAATGAAATGTTCTTTACAGGAACACCAAGAACAGATTTACTTTGCCATGTTTGAAAAGGCTGACATGTCCATAGAGCAGTACTGCTCATTTGCAGAACTGAGACTGATTTCTAAAGGTCTGTACACATACCAAAGCTCCCACAGGACAGCAAAGGAGACAGCAAATATCCTGGCCCTGATCAAGAGGCTGACATCACTATACTGCAAAATATTCTGCCACTGAAATACAGGAAAGCACTGAAGGGATACTAAAACACTACCAATGAGACAACCAGTTTTATCGCATCTTATCTATTTGTGCTAAAGGACTGCAGCTGGAGCTTTTGCTTTCCAGATCTGGTAATACACACACACAAAAAAAAAAAAAAAAAAAAAAACACCGCAGGGAAATCCTTCAATCTGTCCAGAATATGATTATCTATTAAGTATTTCATGCTGCTTTGTTCTATCAAAACTCCTTTCACCCCACTTACACCATTAATAACAGATACAGAGACCAGACAGTAAGGGTTTTTAAAGTCACACCTTACATTTTTCCGGATCTCTGTTTATATGAGGGGTATTTCAACTCTGATATATACAAACTAAAGGAAAAACAAAGTTTTGGGAGATCTTTGTAAATTGTGGGATGGGCAATTAACAATCACATGAAATTTAACAAGAGCAAGTGCCAGATTCTACCCCTTGGACAACCCTAGCTATCCATGCAGACTGAGTAACAAGAGGTTGAAGGGCAGCTCTGCAGAAAGGGATCTGTGTTTCTGGCTGATAGCAAGTTTAATCTGAGTCAGCAGTGTGCCCCCTGGCTGCCCAAAGGGCCAACCATACCCTCAGTGCTGCCACTGGGTGAGAGGAGGGGTTGTCCCACTCTGCTCAGTGCTGTGTGGCCTCACTGGTGGTTATGTCAGGTGGGGATTGGGGAAAAGCTCTGCCTCAGAGGATGGTGGACAGGGAACAGTCTGCTCAGGGTAGTGGGCATGGCCCCGAGCAGCTGGAGTTTAAGAAGCATTCTGACAGTGCACTCAGACATATGGTTTGGATTTGGGATGGTGCTGTGTGGAGCCAGGGGTTGGACTCAATGATCCTTATGTGCCCCTTCCACCTCAGAACAGTTTATAGTTATATCATTTGATCCTTTTGGAAAAAGCAAGTACCTCAAGAAGGATCTGAGCAGGAGGCAGCAAGGCTCATGCTAAACACGGGTCAGGAGCAAAAGCCATGAGCTTTTGATTCCCCAACATCAATATCAGAGCTGTGCATTGCTGGAGCCACCCAGCAGTATGAATTTGGTCTGACTCAGACATGGGCACATGATTGCAGTTCTGGTGAATTAGTCACTGTACTCTCTTATGCTGGCTCTGTGCTGGGGAGAAGGCCAGGGCAAGATGCACTGAGCTGACTCAACAAAAATTTCTGAACAAAGACCCAAAGCATTTTGGATCACACTTCAGGAGTCCTCAGCCCAGCTGCAAGCTATTGGCATCTCAATAACCCCATTAACTTGATCTGTTCCTGAGTTTTAGGAGGCAGGTTGCTAGCACCTGCAGAATAGACAACAGTGCCAAAACAGAGAGGAGAGGTCACCAGCACTGCAGCATCTAACAGCTAGCATCCAACAGCAAGCATCTAACAGCTGCCAGGCACAAAGGTCTGCAGAAGGTGGTTTTAAGTAAAATAAACATCTCCATTTGTAACATATAATCATAGCATTGATATCATGATTCCCATCCTCCTTCCATCCCACTCTATCACTTATCCTCATTGCTGGAAAAATGACTGTCAGGCTGTAAATGAAAAGCTCTAAGTTGCAGCTCCCAGTAGTTCTTTCAATGCAGTGATCCAACACTACCATGCCATATCTGCCAGCTGCACTGTGTTTGGGGAATCTTAGGTTGGTGATCTCAGGGTTAAGCCTCTGTGTCATTGCTGTCTCAGGTGCACCACTGTGACCACACTGGATGAAGCCCTGAACTTTCAAAGTTGGGGACACCAGGACACAAAGTATGTGGTCAATGTGCCAAATCCTTTCAGGGTTCTGTTCATCATTAAGCTACCTCATTTTCCTGCAGTATGATGTACTCCTTGCTTATGTCAACAGCACTTTTAAGAGAAAGTTGCTAACACACACTGGTGGAGAGCACTGGAGCAGCCATTCTTTCTCATCCCCCTCCTCCACAGCACTACTGAGCTAGCTGTGATTTGGTGTCTATCTCCTGACACAGAGAATATACATTTAAACAGAGATGAACTCAACAAATATATATATATACACATATATATATATATATATATATATATATATACACACACACACAGACATACATATACATATACATGCATACATATACTTTTTTTTTTTTAATGATATTCAGTCAGGTACAAATTCTGGAAGAAGTTAGCCCGAAAGCTTCAGAAACTGAAATAAAATGAAACCATAATTCAGTCAATTCAGTATTATGTAGTGCAGTGAAAAAACACTGTTTCCAAAGCCTGAATCTGCTGCCTTTTTATGAGTTCTGTCTGTGCTGGAGCCTTTAAATCCTCAAATAGACAATCTTGCCTGAATAGTAAAGTATATTAAGCCAAGTAAAGTTTGGTTTGGTTAGACAAGAGCAACACTCATTGAAATCAGACACAGAGCAAAAGAAGGCCCTACAGACCATCTGCCCTGGCACTGACAACAACTTTAATTAAAGGATTGATAAAATCTTCAATACAAAGAATTATTTGGAAGATTAACTCCATACTCAGTGGACCTGGACCCCTTAAAAGCATGAAACAACTTAGAAAACAGAACATACATCTTTTTCCAAAGTATTTAGGTACCTGGAGGTGCCAGTATAGCTCTTATCTACCTCATTACACAGCTAAATACATTTGTAACTGTAATCTCCAGTCACTCTCAAAGTTTTAGAGGTGCACAGATGTCTAGGAGGTTTACAAAGTGCCTAGCTATTTAGTTCTCATTAAAACCAGTGATAGTTAGGGCTTCATGTAAAACCACATCTATCTGCCTAATTAAAAAATTAGCATCTAAAACATCATGCACCTTGTTCAAACCAGTGAGGCTGGAGCTCCTGCGAGTTCTCCAAGCTATGCTTTAGTTTTCAGTGACAGTCCCCAGACAACCTGCAGGAGCACTGGTGAGGTGGTCAGAGAGCTTGGCAAAAGGAGAAATTTGAGCCTGAATCAGCCTCCAGGCGCAGATTTGTCCCTAGAAAATAGAAGCATTAAAATAGGGTGACATTAAAAATGTTATTAAAATAAGTTAGGCCAGACCTTCACAACAACACATCAGTCATATCTCCACTGTTTATAGCAAGCTATGGGCTCACTTAGACCATTTTGAACACATTTTTCTTTAAACAGCAGCTTAAGATGAGTTGCCACTTCTAATTAATCACTCTTCTTTAATGTATCTTGGTGCTTTGCATCTAGATAATTAACTTTGATATTCATTTGGTGACTTCGAGGCACAAACTCCTGTTGCTGTCAACTGTCTGACAAGACAGAGCATGCGCTGATAGAAGACCTTCATGTGACCCTGGCAATATTGCATTTTGGAAATTTCAGTAGCTAATATGATCAGCCTGCTGGAGAAAAGCTTTCATAAGTTACTCCAACGATTTGAGAATGGAAATTGTGACTGCAAATTTGTCACTGGAGTGATTTCCTAGAATGAAACAGATGTACATTGAAGTTTACCTAATTTCTGTTCTCATCGTACTACTCCTTTCTAAAACAATCCTTTAGAAAACTGGCAAACCTTTTATTGTGGTCTTGCACAGCAGTTGCCTTGATCCCAGGCAGGACACACAGAAGTTACCATACATTTTAAAAGTAATGTAAGTCTAATAGCCTAATAGCCAATAAATAAATAATCATTACAAAATATTTTTATATTTTATATATGAAATATATATAAAATATTATGCCACCTCATACCTAAAAAATAAATACAGCAATACAAAGATGGGACAGAAGGGGAGGGCCAAATTCTTTGCCTTTATAATGAAAGGTTACATTCTACTGGTAACAAGATTAAATTGGTGAGCAGCAAAAAGTTTGAATCAGATTCTTATTATCCCACAGTGGGTCACCTTCTGCTAGCACATGCTCTAACCCTGGAATCAGTCAAACATTCGCCTCAAGAAATGAACACACAGGACTTCTAAAACAGTCAGGATAGTCAAGAGAAAAAAGAATTGGCTCAGACACAGCTACTTTCCTTTTTAAATACTGTTCTTCCATGTCATTGAGTATGGGAGCTAATGGCATAACTTAAACATTCTTGAAGCAAAAGCCAAGAGCAGCCCAAGCCCCTTTGAGGTAAGAAACGGAGTATAGTGAATGAGGAACGGCTGAATCTCAACTGAATCCTTTTTCATAGGCTAGCTAAAGCGTTCCATGGTGCTGCTTAGTGTGAGATTAACAGAACATAGCAAAAAAGTAGAAATAAAGATGTATTGGTGTGTTGCACTTTTCCTTAAGTTTGAGAATGAGATCAAGATTTGAGTGTTTGAAATATTTTGACAGTGGAAAAAATACTGACTACTCCATTTTCTACACAGGGTCAACATTACGAAGAAGAAAAGCGGGCTTTGAGCCATGAAATAATTGCACTTAATAATCACTTAATTGAGGCCAAGGTGACAATAGATAAGTTGTCAGAAGACAATGTAAGTATTTAATTATGAATATATCTTGAGACTATGCTCACTAATAAATTATGCTATACACTTCCTATGCAATTATAGGAATTTCTTATTGCTTACATTAAATGTAACTGCCACCTCTATAGTTAAAATCCTTATCTGATGCTCCTGCCATTTTGTAATTCTGACTGTTCTCTGGTTACAGAAACTTCACTGATTATTTTTCCCTTGTCTAACCTAAAACTGATGAGAAATTTATTCCAAGAATAAATTAGTTTACCATAGGTTCCAATATAGCAGACTGGTAGAAGCCTCTTCAGACATAAAGTGTGGACGTGTCTTCATCACAGATTCTTCACAAAGCCTGTAGGCACAGGATAGAATCCTCCATTTCCCACAGTTTCTGTGATCTTTTAGTCTTTGCTCACTGACATGGAATGCGAGCTCTATGATTCATAGGTAGGACTGATGCAGCCTGGTTACTCAGATAGTCAGGTTTTCCCCAGCTATGGTTCACACTTTCCCTTTCTCTGTGTGAAATTAAATAGGGAATGCATTTTGTGATTATCATCTTGCATCTCATTAAAGATTACAGGAACCATGCATGTGTTCTGCAATTGGCAACAAAACTCATGAAAATCCCTCCATGACCAAACCTAACAAAGTCAGCAAAGAAATATTTAGTTCATTATTTTGTCATTCTTAGACACTCAGTTAAAAAAAATCACCTACAGAAGATGTTTTTGTTATTGCTCATTCTTCAACATACTACATACTCTCTTCCCATATTTCGTATGAAACTCCTAATCATAGCAGAAGGCATCTGATCCCATTAATTGTTGATGTGAATTATGATAAATTCATTAACCGCTTTCCAGGTGGAAACAGAGTTCACAATCTGATCTCCTTTTACAGAAACTGTGTTGGAACAGCCATTGCTTCATAGCTCTAATATCTATAGCTAAATGAACCTGATAAATGCAATGGGCTAACTTTAGGTTCAAGAAGCACAAATTTAAGTCTGGACTAATTCCAGCTGAAATCAGTAGAGTTATTTCAAATTTGGAAATGGAAAGAAAAAAAAAATGGAAAGATGGAAAGAATGGAAAGAAAAATGGAAAGAAACAGGGAAGCTTTCCCAATATCTATTAATGCATTTACTATTACTTCATGAAGTCAGACTTATGTCTACATTTGAAGAATTTTCAATATTGATAGTTTTTAGAAGGTAGCTCAGACTGATCCAGAATAGAGTGTACTCTTCCTCAAAGACAGAATTATTGTGAAACACGGTGATTATTATTTTACAGCCCAGGAACATAAAAAAAAACAGTACTACTTCTTCACAATTCATCTCAATTCACAGCAAAAAATTCTGCCCTTTGATATGCAGCATCATTAATGAAAGTAAAATTCCAGTGTTCAAAATAAAAAACTACAAAACAGTCATTTAAAATCATGCAAGAATAGACTGTGTCAAAGTGAATACTCCATTCTGAGGAGAACATGCATTTTTCTTGCCAATATTTCTTCCTCCTCCAGCTTCCTCCAACCATATTTCCCCCTGTCCCTTTGATGGACATGTAAAATTATACTTTTTGATGCAAAAATATATTTTGGATCATGAAAAAGCTTTTGGAATTTAGTGTTGATTACTGTTCTAGATGCCATAGATGTGGCTCATCACCACCTAGGTAAATAGGCATAAAGTCACTCCAGCCACACAGCATGTCACTGCATACTGAGAACACAGTACTGAGAACTAGTTGGATGTGGCACATCCAACTAGTAAGAAATTTTTTGTAGTAATTTTTGAAGTAGCTAAAAATAGAATCAGAAATGCTTTTCGTACTCCATGGCAACCACTTCACAGAAACAGAGCCTCGCTGCTTTCAAAGAAAGGATTCAATTCTGGAATGACTTCATTATCGCGTGGAGGACTTGTCTATACTATACATTGTACAGCAAAACTGTATGTGCTTAATGTGCCTGTAACACATCAGAACCAAGCACACATGCAACAGATTTTGCTTCCAAATTAAATTCTTGGATTCCTAGTATTTGCATCTGTTTTCAGGAATAAAGATAGCGTGTACCAACATGAAATGTAAGACTTACATAAATGAAATCTATCTCCTCTGTAAATTTAAGGCAGAAAACATCAGGTACAGAGCTCACACAGACACAGATGCACAGACACCTATATAAAAGTATCTAAGGACCCTTAAAGAAAAAGGTATAAATCAACTAATGATCACAGATAAAGTACTTTTACTGGCCACATGCCTCATGGACTCCCAGCAACACCTTGTTGAACACCTTATTACAGAATACCTTTAAACAGAGGGAATTTCCACTCTTCCTTTTAACAGAAACCTATCAGTTTCTGTTACAGAAACAAGTGGAACGGTAAAACTCTGCATGTGTCGATATAAGATTAGCAGCAGAAGAAACTCAAATAATTTCAATATTCAACATTTTTTCCTTACAAATCTGTTCTTGTTTTCACAGATTAATAATAGTGGCCGAAGTGGTCAATGTTTTTTCATTTGTCTAATTGCCACACATGAGGTCGATTTGGAAGTCAGCTTAGTTTTTAATGGCACCTTGAGCAAAAGCAACATTTAATTCTTACCTACAAGGACCCAAAGATAATGGTTGAAGGATACAGTTACAATCATATGTCTTAAACTAAATTAACATGAAAAATGAGCTGAGGGCACATCTCTGTACAGAATTCTCCCATTAAACAGGCTGTGGGAACCATTCAATACAAATTAGTTCAAGCATCATGTTTAAATTCTCTTTTTCTCTTTCTGAAATTCTCACAATAGTTTTTGACCCGATAAAAAAATGATGTTCTGTAGCACAGCATGTTTGTAGTGAAATTTAAGTCATCTAGAAGATAAGTGGAAAGCCAAGAACCAGCAAGAAAATTTCATGAGGAGACAAAGGATATTTAAAAAAAAAAAAAAAAAAAAAAGCAATATGTATGAAAATGAATTTCTCCCACAGTCTCTTAAGACTTTTTCAGCAGTTTTTCTAAAGTAGTATCTCAGTGCTGATCTGAATAACACTCAGTAAAAATCATCTGCTCTTCAATTTTCTTTCTGCTTAAAATATCATGTTTATTTTCACCCTCATAGTTCCATGCATGTTAAAAGTACAAAGCCAAGATCCTAATGGTAAGTATTCATCATCTGAAATGCAGATAACTGCTGCATAGCTACAGTGTTTAATTTTTGGTAATTTATCAACCCTCACAGAGCAAAGGAACAAACTTCTCAACCTCACACAAGAAATAACAGAATCTTAATGTGTTTAGAAGTTGAAGTATGTGCCAAACTTCCCCAGAGTCCAACTCTGAAACATTTATCAGGCATGGGTGAAAGCCACAAGTTTGCAAACTTGAAAAAAAAAAAAAAAAAAAAAAAAAAAAAAAAAAAAAAGAGGGCTATTTTTTTTCTTTTTTTTTTTTTTTCCTATTTTTTGTGTGTGTGTGTGTTTCTCCAGGAGCTCTATAGGAAGGACTGCAATTTAGCTGCTCAATTGCTCCAGTGCAGCAAGAATTACGAGAGGGCACATAAACTTTCTGAGGTAATGTGACTAAACCTGATGAATATTTGAAGAAATAAATATTGTATGGAAAACTGGCTGTTTTATCACTTCCAGAATTTGTTTGACCCTTAGGCTTTGATTTATTCCTTTTTTTTTTTTTTTTTTTTTTTCCACCCTTTAAGCAGCCCTGGGGGTTTTGTGCACCTGCTGCTATTCTGTGTAGCTGGGGAGGTGCTGACAAAATCAGTCAGTAATGGAACTTGAAGATACTCTCTGCTATCCAATACAATGCTTCTCTGCTGAACGTGTTAAATAGTAAAGGCTTTCACAAAACCAAAGTGGTGAGAAATCTAGGCTGCAAAATTTTGGGGTTTGTGGAAGGAGCGGGGACATAATAGGATACAATCAATTTTCTTCGTCAAGTTATTTTCCAGTCCAGTTAATTCTAAACCTGAATCTTAAAACAGACTGGCAAACATCTTTTCTAAAGCAACCATAGCACTGCTAATTGAATTCCAAGGTATAAACTTTAATTACTATTCTTGACTTCCAAGGAAACTGACATGAGAAAGAGACTCCTTAAAGGGGAGGCAAATGTGTCAATCAACAAGGCAGTCTTTGGAGATGCAGGATCCTCCTCAAAGCAATAACACCTTCCTCATGTATATTGGTTTGTTGAAGGTCACAGAGGAAAAACCTTCCCCTGATCACTCTCATCAGGTAACTCATCCCCAAGAATGGCCCCTTTTGTGCAATTCTGTGACAGAATGATGCAAAACCAAATGTCAGCCATTTCTAAGCCACTAGACTGAATAACTAGACAAATCTGACAAGGACTGATCAACATTCTTTCATCACATGGACAATGATATCCTCTATCTGAAGCAAAACTTCCAAATTTACCAATATTCCGATCCCATTCTTTTTCCTAATGGCTGACTTCATTTAACATTTCATATCTAGGAGTCATCATTACATTACTCATACCAAAAGCCTCCTACCTGTTAGTAAGAATTAGGATCACAAAGGTATTTAGCAGCTCTCTCACAGAGAGCCATCACAAACTGGAATCTCCCCACAATTTCACAGACTATTATACACTTAATGAAATGGGCAGTCTTCACTTTCAACTCAGAGTATTTATCAATATACTGAGTGTAAACATTGTCACGGTCAATAAATTCCTCACAAGCACAAATATTGCCACAAAAAGTGTTGCATGTTACCAAGAAACCTGAACTACTGAACAAAATATTAATGACAGCAATATAGTTTTTGTATTTCCAGCTTCCACTACCGTAAGAAAAATATTATTTATTTTAATAATTTTCCAAATATAAATAATGTATACAAAATAGACCCAATAGTTGTGTTAAAGGAAACTAAATATTAGCTGCCATATACAGCAATTTCACATTAAATGAACTATATTTCTTCTCCTCGCTTTCATGGCTATTTACAGCAGCCTTATTTATTTACTGTTTATTCAATCTTTTTTGCATCTGTACTTACTATGACTAATATTTCTGTTTGCCAGCAGATTGGCAATCTTATACTCTTTATTTCCAGTGGAAGATGTATGAGCTAATTATCAACATAATGATTAATCCAATATATCATAGAAAAAAACACTCATCCTACTCCGCAGTAACAAGAATGTCATTTCACAATGTATCATATTCCGAATACACTGAATTTGGGGCATTAAAATATCTTCAAGCATTTAGTTAAAATAGAAACCCCATACCTTATATACCATGTGAGATCACTAGAAGCGGTAGACAACTTGAATTCTTCTTGCCTAAAGAGAGGTGCAGAGGGCAACCATCTCAATATTTTTAGTGCTGTCTCCTCTAAAGAAACAAAGTTAAGGAGTGTGTTTGAAAGTTGCGGCTAAAAGTGTAACCACTGGTTATTTGGTAAAGAGAAACTTGATTTCTACATAAAAGAAAAGGTTAGATCTGAGAAGATTCCAATCAACGATTCAGGGGCTATTTTCTTAAGTGGCATAAACCAATATAGATATTGAAGTAGCTAACCCAAAAAGTTACTAACCCAGATACAAACTTAGCCCAAACATGAGCTCCGCGGACATTCAGCAAGAACTGCGTCAGCTGTTATGCAGCACTCTTTATGAAGGATCAGCGGTGGAGATTTTAAATGAGCAAGGCCAAATATATATATATATATAGATATATAGATATATATATATATGCCTGTATTACATTTAAATATTTATAATTTAAATATTACATTATTATTGTACACAGCCTGTACAATGCTTGGCTGTGTAGGATTTACCTGCTGGGTTTTTTGAGATACAAAAGGGTATCTCAAATCACTACAAAGTGTTCTGTCCCAGAACATTTCTCCAGAAATGGTCAGTCTTTGATGCACAGCAGATTTGTTGAATAATTTTGAGTCATTCACCAAAGGAGTCATAATGCATCTTTGGGTCATAGCTCTTATTTTAGCTGGTGTAGTAAGAAACCCAAAAAGAAGCCAACAGCAGCTCTGGCAGAGGAGGTTTATAATGTTTGTCGATCTGACAAGTAGTGGTCCAATTGCTGGGACAAGGTAGCTGTTCATTTGCTTCTTTTCCCAGCACAGAAACACTCTTGTCATAGCAAGAAGTACCATTGCTTTCAGTGAAACCAACTTTCCCATCTCTTCAAATAACATCACTTATAAAATGTGACACCAAAGGGCAGGAGCCAATTTGGCAGTGGGCTGGAGGCAAGAGGAGCGCAAAGGCCGTAAGAACACAATATATATAATCTCTTCTTCTTTCCTCATCTCAGCAGAGAGCTCCACACCCCATCTTCAAATCACACACATTGACAGACTGTCTGGAAAGTGTTGCTGTAGGCTCTAATTCCCTACGTGCCTTTTTAAGGTGGTTGTTTACTATGTTGTTTAGATTGTTTTGATCCAGCTAGAATTAATTTGGAAGGAATCATCTCAGTTTCATAAGAGAAGCAGATAAACACTTCTAAATGCTAAGTAAATAAATGAAATTCATCTGATTACATTTGTTTTCAGAAATGCACAGAGACTGTGGCCTTCACATTAGTCAAAGAACCATATCTGGTGAGCTACATAATATCATAAACTGCACTCATATGTCAATGCTGCATAAACCCAAACAGATACCAGTACTGATATGCATCCTTTTCTCCTATCCCCTCTGCTATCTCTTTATGTTACAGTTGCCATCTGACTTTCAGGAAAGAGTCAGCATCCATCTGGAAAAACATGGGTGCAGCCTTTCTGTCCCCTTGTGCCGCACATCTTATGCTGATACCATACCCACCTGTGTCATCGCCAAAGTACTGGAGAAACCAGATCCAAACAGCTTGTCTTCACACTTGTCAAGCCCCTCTACAAGGGATCTCAATTTTCAGGACTCTGCTGGAAAACTCGAGCAGAGGCCTCAGTACAAGTCAGACATCTACTGCAGCGACACCGCTCTGTACTGCCCCGAGGAGAGGAGGAGGGAGAGGAGACCGAGTGTGGACACACAAGTGAAAGACGTGGGGTTCCTGCGGTCCCAGAACTCTACAGACAGTACTGTTGAAGAAGATGGCTTCCATTCCAGCTTCTCTCACGAAGCCTTCCCAGAGTACATTACCTCTTTGCCGACCTCCAGCTCCTATTCTAGCTTCAGCGTCACATCTGAAGAGAAGGAGAACGCCCAAGCCAACACTATGACAGCCTCCCAGCAAGCAATCTACATGAGCAACCGAGATGAACTGTTTGAAAGAAAGTCACCTGCAGGTTATGAGCATCAGGGAAGCCCAAGGTTTGCCAAGTCAAAACCTGCACAGCACATGGAGCTTGCTGATGACAACGAGAACTCCCCCACGTTTACTCGGACTCTGCCTCCTTATGCAAACGAACCTTTTCATTTCTCAGCCATAACACCACAGCAGGCTTTAGCAAATCAAAAAATGAGGAATGAGTGCAGGAGCACCAACCTTTCAGAAGAAGACTTACCTGGGCGATGGAGGCAGTTGAGTGTGGAGGACATTGGTGCATACTCTTACAGGAACACTGGCAGGCTATCACCCTGCAGCTTTTCAGAGCAGTATTACAGCAGCCCTATGAAAACAGGAGACAGTCGAACAAGTCCCATCTATGCTAGTTACAAAGCAGATAGCTGCTCAGAGGGAGATGATATCTGCCAAAGCAGACTTGTGGATTCTTGCTTCCTGAGAACAGACAGTGGCCTGAACATTGACATCAGCACTAGCTGTAAACAGGACAAGCTGCCCACTTACAAAACAAAAGAATTAAGAGACCAAAAAAATGAAAGGATCACTGTCCAGTTATGCAGTAGCAAAAACATCGAAAATAGCCCAGTGTTGAAAAGAGAATATGTGGACGTGAGCCCCAACAGCTCTGCAGAGTCCCTCAATCACAGTTCAATAGAGGCTTCAGAAATCCACCAGTCTTCCATGGAGCAAGGAAGCCATTCGAGTATTCACAGCAAACAGCAGCAGTTTCAGCGGACTGGGAGTACTGGTTTGAGCCGGAAGGACAGCCTTACAAAAGCACAACTATATGGAACCCTTCTGAATTAGGCATCTTCCAGAACTGCAATAAGACCACAAGCGAAGGAAAGCAAACCACGTTTGATACTTCTTGTGAGCGTAAGGTTTAAGAAATGGATTATAAAATATATATTCATAATGGTACTATATGTTTGAAATGAAATCTCTCCAAAAATGTTATACAGCACTTTTCACTTAACATCCTTTCCACATGGGAGACCATTCCCTCCCCTCTTTTATAAACCTGAAATATTTTTATAAACAAAATGGTATTTATTAGACTATCCTAAGATATTTGAGCAGAATTCTTTTCCCTTCAAGCAAGTTTCTTATTTATTTTTGTGCATGAGGCCATCTGTGCCTAAACTCCTGGAGGAAAAGGGTAAAATCATGATGATGGAAGTGAAAAAAAAAAAAAAAAAAAAAAAAAAAAAATCAATCCACCTGATAAAATACCATAAACTTCATGTGAAAAAAAAGCAAAACTGAAAAGAATGGTGAATTTGAAAAAGTATATTTTTTAAAAAGAATGGAATTGTATCTTAAATTATTTCATACAAATGTATTTATGAGTGACTAATGTATGCACAAAGTGATACCAATATTTTGTTCTTTTAATCCACTGTGTTTCTGCTTTCCTATTTTTCCTTGTATACTACCTCAAAAGTAATTGAGGGTTTCTTTGTCACGTTTTCTGTAGGCTTGCATTTATATTGTCTAAAATGCATGCAGTGTCATAATTAATACTGTATTTTGCATTACTTAATAAAAGACACCAGTGGAGATATTTTGTTGGTTCTTTATCCTTTGTTAAAACATACCCTGGACAACAGTGTGTTCTGGATATTAACAGTCCAGTAAACGTTGATGAAAAAAGCTCCTACTTACGTTGCTCTCCAAAGGATCTGTCTAAACCACAGAGCAGTGGTTCTCAGCCTTTGGCTCCTGGAATTGTAAGGACTGCTTCTCATCAGCCTTGGAAGGTAAACAAAGAAAACAAACCAGTTGTCAATAGCTTTAAATTCACTGGGAAAGGCTCTCCATATTCTAAAAAAATTTGAAAACTGTGTAAAAGTTGTGAAAAAAGTTGTGACTAAACCTCCTTCTCTATTATGTATGTAGTTGGCACAACTCTTCAGGTCTTTAGAACTGTTATTTTCCACAATTGTCCTTTTTCATACATATTTCAAACACAGACATTTTTCTAAGATTTAAGTAAAGTCTGACCTTCTGCAGCCCATAGCAATTTCAACCTCAACACTGAGAAGCCGTACTTCTACCTGTAGTTTTTGTGTTCCCTCCACAGTTTCCTGTTCTTCATCATTCCATCACTAGGGAGCGTACAACTTGAGCAGTCACAGAAGGGAGAGAAAAAAAGTGGAAAGAAAAACAGAAAGAGGGAAGGAAAAATCCTGTGGACTTCTTTTATGGCTTCAGTGCAGCTGTTTGTAAGAGGCAGAATACAGCAGTAAATGCTAAATCATTCTAAGTCATATTCATTAAACATGTATCCTGTACTTGAAATATTGACTCTGACAGGTACTGGTGTGGAGAAGGATCTTACATAGTGCAATATGTGGTAGTAAATCAGTAAAATCACTGTGGAAATCTGAAAATCTAGTACCTATAAAGCTAAAATGATGTTATCATTCATTATATATTAGAAAAAAAAAAAACCTCTGTTCTCTGCCAATTCTCTGAATACAGCCACTTGTCAAGTTACTATGAACCAGGACACTAAAACTGCTCACTTTTACATAAATGTCTTAACTCACGAAGACGGAGTTTCAATTCATTTGGCATCAATATTTCCCACTGTTTCACATACAGTTACTCACGTTCTTCATGAGTAACATAAAAACGTGACCACTATTTATACACGCAAGCACATTCTGTGCTATTTGGAAGATCAGGCACTAAGTTCTTACAGTTCCTCAGAGACCTGTACCACTGCTGAGGAGAACAATGGTAGTTAATAATATCACACAGGTAAGCCACAACAGAAGGTTGAAGTCAGGCTTATTTCTGTAAGAAAGCTATTATGCACCTTGCTCTTTTATGCTCTCACACAGCTTGGGGCAGGTTGCACCACACATAAAGCCACTGAAGTCAATGGGGAAAAATATATAGAACACCATATTATTTCCCAAATACCAACTATTTCTATGGTAGAATCTGACCTGCACTAAATAGAAAATGAAGATCCAGAGAATCTGCTACCTCCCCTTCAAAACACTCAATGTTGACTCACTCAGGTTCCTAAAATTTAGGCAGTGTAAGGCAAGATATTCATTTCTTTGGTCAATGAATATAAGGATCTGTATGCAAGGGTGAAAATTAACTTTTATCTCACCTTAAAAATATATAAGCTCTGGAAAAATAAATCCTGATATTTATGAACAGAATCACACTATCAGACTGATCCTTTCTATAATATAATTCATCATCTGATATTAAACTGCTATTTTGTTAATTGTACACAACTTTTTCTAGGTATTACAGATCTGATTATTTAATATGCTGTTATGTTATCTTTTCTTCTGTTGCAGTTTCAAAGCCTGTTTCTACGCTTCACTTCATTCTCTTTCTCAGATTATGTGGATTAATATGCAAATTCAAAGCAGACTTTTCAGCCAATTAGTACAGAGTTTTTCTTATAAAATAGCCTAAAACCCTTTAACATTTTTACAGTACAGAACAATCTGCAACCCTGGAATGAATTTCAACCGAAGGGATCAAAATAGCTAGTTACCCAACTTTAATGCACTGATTATTTTAAAAACTCCTTTAAATCAGACCAACTGACAGTCAGCTTGCATATTTTCTATGAACACAAGAGAAAAAAATAAAAAATGAAATAATTTTTCTCAGATTTACTGGTTTGAAAATGGTTAATTTTCTGTTGTTGTTTTTTTTTCTCTACCCAAGAAATTTTCAAAGATTATATTAAAGGATTCTGTCTTTATTTTGGTACATTCTGCTTTGATTTCTTGAGACAGCTAAAGAGACCAGAGGTGGGAGGCTAGGAAGGTACAAAGCATTTCACAAGCAATTTCAATTTCCTGTATGGAATGCTTTAATTCTATGCCTACTTTCAGTTTTCACATTGAGAGCGAGTCATTCAAAAATCCTGTCATGGAGCCGATTACAGGAATATATAGTCAGAGATATTTAAGACTGGCTACTTGGATTTCTGTACGTGTTCTCTCCAAACGAAGTTCTTCCCTCACATGGTTCCCTGTGGCTTTAGAATGGCTCTTCTAGCACCAGGCAAAATCTCAAGCATGGATTTAAAAATCACTGAAGATTTAGGAGCCTAACTCTGGTTAAGAACAGAAGAGATGGGAGAGCAAATCAATAATGTCCTGTTCAGAAGGACTTGTACTTTCTTCTAAGTGGAATGGACATGATTAAAGCAGTGTTTTCAAAGAACTTACATTCCATAGGACTTTTATGATGAAAAGCGACATCCAAAACATTGTTCTCAGAACACCTTACTTCCATTTCTCATTTAAGCAAGTCCAGTCTGATGAACTCAATACTGCTCTGACTGTAACTCCAGAAAAACAAAACAACTGATCTTCATTTAAAGAAAAGAAAAATCCCCGATTCCTGTGGATGAGAATTTGCCTCAAAATAGCTTGTCCAAAGGATATAAAAGTCTGATTTTCTCTCAAGCATTATAAAACTGCTAAAGTATCTCCATGTTACATCAAAACCTCACTTTTAACAGTGATGACAAAGCATTCAAATTCTATATGCAGGGCTTGTAGTTATCCAGAACAGGATTTTTGCTTTGTTCGATTATTACATTTGCCATGAGTAAAAGCAGAGAAGGTGAGGAAAATAAGTGGCATAAGTGGCAACTACTCAACAGTGCAGTGAAGCAGAAGATATGAAACATCATTTTAATGACAGCAATGTGATACCAAAGAGTACACGACACAGGACACTGCTCACAGAAACACAACAGATGTTGAAAGATCAGAGTGAGGAATAGCAAATCACATCACAAAAACAGATAAGAATTCAAAAGAGGGAAATAGGGTACAGTTCACTAGGAAACAATGTTATATAAGTGTTATGAAATTAAAAGGCGCAAATGCATTTTTTAAGATGTGAGAATATTTTTCTCACTCCAAATTAAGGTTAAAATGAATCAAATTCTCAATAAATGTGAATCGCAAATATCTCTTCCTTTTAAACTTTTTAGAACCCTATAAATAGCTGCATTTTTAATGTTTAAATCATGGCAAACCCCAAAATACGTAGTTTTCAATTCAACAGTTTCTAAATTCTACTCCCAAACTAGAAAATGTATCACGTTAATCTTTTCCCCTTCCAGCACTTTTAATTAAAAAGAATTTCCACTCAAAAATCTGTCACGGGACATGATTACACAGCTGCTAAAATTGATTTCTTCTTCTTTAATTTTAATGTACTAATTTACATCCTTTGGACTTTCTTATAGAATTATTCTTCCCCACTCACATTTACAACCTTGTAATTCTTACAGACCGTTATGATATCTCTCCTTAAATACTGCTTAAATTGTGTAGGTGTAGTCCAGTCATTTTTCTTTGGAAGACACTCCATTCAGATCTCTAATTCATTTAAATTCTTTTCAAGAAGCATCCTTTTCAGTTTTCTACAATTGGAGTGTTTTAATATGAACACTGAGCTGGGTCAAACATTGGATTCAAACCCAGTGAACAAAGAAAGAAAGAAGAGAAATATGCAGATCAAAGTGACTGGATCTTTTTTCCCAGAGCTGATATTCTCAATAACAACAGGTAGTTGGACAGAAATTTTCTCACTAAAATAAAATTTATTTTCACATGGCCAAAATGCAAGTTTGCATTTTGATGAAGAGTGAGTCTGGCCATGTTTCTAGAGTAGAACCTTTTTTCCTGAAAATCAGTGCATTGAAAAGAAAGGATTTCTCCTATACTTCCCTTTTGTGACTAAGGTAGTTTTTCAGCACTTGCACAGAAGCATGCTGGATGATCCTAAAGAGCATTGGGTTTGCTTATGATAGACTTGAGTCGTGTGGAATCTGTTTTTATTCTCCTTCTTTCATTCTTCTCAATCCTGGCAGGATTGAGAAACTATTTTCAGGAATACTCACTTCAATTTGTGTGTTTTCAAGCTTTATATGGTTTCAATTGCAGGTTTGTCAGAC